AGATGGTGCCGCACCAAAACCAGATCAAGATATAAAAGTCACCAAAGCTCCAAACGTGTAATTGCCTTTCACAAATTGCAGGGTCCTTCTCTCATGTCGGTGCAAATTTCTGCGATGCTGTTCTTCACAATAGGTTTGTGAAATGCAATTACAGTGCTGATGACTTTATATATTAAGACAGGTGATAAAGTGCACATGCACAGTGGCATTCATAAGGAGCGTCACAGTAGTGACAGCTAGCTGTCTGCCCCTGACAGGAACAAGATGGCAATGCCCAGCAGCAATAAGTCAATTTTTAGGTACGATCACAAGGCGGCACAGCATATAGATAAAACATAAATAGAATAAAATATATATAACACCTCAAAGGGTTTCTTTAATCACTTCATTACCAGGTGGTATTTAACAACAGATTTTCTTTATTTTTTACTATGTAAATAGAAAAAACAAAACCGTCCAAAAACCTCAAAAATTTCCCCTTTTTGAAAAGTAGACAACCCAAGGTGATCTAATGATGTCACTTTTTTTAAATGAAGAAATTGTCTGTATTGAGAGAGTTAAAACATGGTAATGCTTTATTAGATACATTAAATGCACAAGGTGCACAACACAGAGGGAGGAGGAGATGAAGGAATTAAAGCACAGGTCACATACAGTCGGAGGATGGAGACAAAGGGGTTAATGTATAAATGTGCTGTAAATGGGAGGTAATGTGGTTAATAAACAGCTCAGAGCAGATAGAATGGAGCAGACATACTGTACAGCAGAATGGGGTGAAAGGTCAATTATTTTTGTGCTTTATAATTTCTTGCTGCTGCAGCTTGTTTTCATCAACTAATGAATTAATAATTAATTCATTACTTCCTTTACTCTCCTCTGCTGCAAGAAAAAGGGAAGGGCTCAGCAAAGTGATTGCTGTGATAACCAATCATAAAGATCACAAGGTACAGAGCTAGGCCAAATGGCTCTGTGCCTGAAGCCAATGTTCTCTGCCACAGGAGCAACAGCTTCTGTGCATGTGCGCACTGGAGATTCCGGAAGGACATACAAGTACATCCGACCAGAATACGGAAGCACACCTTCTGGTTTCAATACTATAAGTCACAAACCCCATTCTGAAAACTTGTTTCAGGCCAGTGATTATATGGCAGCCCCATATTCCAGACTTAATTTAACACTCATCCCGTTCATCCTCTGCAATCTTGCTACGTGGTCTGTTTTGCAAAAGCCAAGCCCCGACATTGCCAGACAATATGATATGTGTAACGCAATGGCTGAGGGATCTCAAGATAATGCTTAGTCAAAATGAAAAATAATGACCTGGAAAAAAATATGGAAAAGTGCATTTAAAAAAAAAATAAAAAGCGGCTATTCAGTCTCAGGGAAAGATGGGAAAATCGCATTGCCCACAGCAGTGCCTGCTCTCAATGAAAAGGTGATTCTCACTTACAGATCAATTACAAAATGTATGGCTATTATACACAAAAGCTGCAGAGAACGTTCCTCTAAAGGGTCTCGAGTTAGAATGAAGTATGGCCACTGATGGTTTAATTCATTATTCAAGAAAACATGGGAGGGCATCGGGATAATATTGTGAGCATAATACCTGTCATTCATTAGCCTTTGTTGAAATGTCTACTGAAACCACGGACTCCCACAATCAAAAGGCTGCACTATGGGAAGGCTTGTAATTAAAGGTTTGCTAAATTTTCTAAGAGCTTCAAATACAGGGGAAAAAAAGAGCTTTTATCTTAGACTTCATGTATAAACACTTCCCTTTAGAAGAAAAAAAAAAAAAGAATCTGAACCTAGCAGATTAGATATGACTGAGCAGCAATGAGATGACAAGAATAAGGCTTTGTTAGGCCATACAATTATAATTACACTCTGGCCCTTTGGAATGGTTAGAAGTAACCACTTACACTGTAAAGATTACACTATAAAAGCAAGTCAACCTTCTGTGGTCAAGGAAGTAGGACTAAAATGCTATCCAATCATCAGATCTTGAAGTGGTCTTTTTTTAAATGTATATAAACCCAAAAATAGGATTTCTGTCTTAGTTGTAAAATCCTTTTTTTGGAGTACATTACGAGATTACAAGACACAGGAGAAGTTGAACTTTGGATTATGCTGCTGCCCTCAGAAGATTGGACACTGGAAAACAAGAGTTTGAAGGGCAAAACAATCCAGCATAGCCCCTCCCACTCCATTTTGAAGCAAGCAATATCATCATGGATCATAAGAAACAGAAGGGAGCGACCTGTGTCTTGTAATGTACTTCAAGAAAATTAGTTTACAGGTGAGCACTGGAGACAATGGAATTACTGAACTCCAGGATACTGATTGGGAGCCGAGCTCGCATCGACAACCAGGTGCCTAGTACTGAGAGGGGATCCAGCTCTCCAGCCTAATAGGATGGCATACATCATAAGCACCTTGCAGACCATCAGGAGGAAGAATTTCCCTGATTGTGGTGCTGTACTGGAGATCCACTAGACCGACATAAGGTTGGTCCCGCTGGCAAGGCACATGGGGTGATCCAGAGACTAAGTTTGGAGTGAAACTGGGCATATGGGACAGCTTTGAAGGAGGCCACTAAAAGGAACAAAACCCTCATGCAAAACGATCATGGTTTAATTGCTCCTGGACCATAGAAATGTAGAAGTGACCGGAGTATTTTGGGGAGAAGAAAGACTCTGACCAGGGCCATATCCAAGACCAGGCCTAGATACTTCATATGATGAGTTAGACCCATCACTGATTTCTGCAGATTTAGGATCCACCAGAACCTCTGTAGGATCTGAACAGTTAATTGGAGTCTGAGCTGACTGTTCTCTCGAACAGGGGCTGTCCCAATATCCCATGATAGGGATGCCCTCAAAGCAAAGCAGAGCAAGAACAGGTGTCAGCACCTTGTTGAAAAACAGAGGTGTAAGGGTACAGACCAAAGGAAATGGACAACAATTTGGTAACTTTGTATGCCCACAGCAAAGTGCATGTAGTGCTGATGCACTGGGAAAATAGGAACATGTAAGTAAGCATCCCCGATATCCAGAGCCAGATCTACGAGGTAAAGGGGAGAAATTACTTACCATGCAGATTCCAAGCAGAATTGTGGATCTTTAGATCCTGTGTGGGGTAGATGTCTCTTTTGGGGGGTTAACACATGTTTAGTGTGCAAGTGCAAAAGGAGGCTGCACAGACTCCATGTGGCCATCCATGCAAGCATCTTTAGCTGGCTGTTGACCTATCTGATGGACCAGATATGCAGCTTAATGACCGAAGACCAATGACTGAAGGAGCACACATGGCAGGCTGACAACCCTGCTGCTATTTGAGAGGCAGTGGCTTAGGAGTTCCCAGGTTATGCCATAAGGGCTGTTACTGGCAGAATCTCCAGGTAAGATACTTTGCAAAATAATTCATTTTTGCAAAAGAAATTAGATTTTTGCAACACCATTTTGACAATGACATACATTGGTGTATAGTGCACATAACGGGATCTACTCAGGCAGAATGGATCATTAAGATAACAATAATGCAGTTTTGAAGTGCACAAATGTTAGCTGTGGCTGTTTACAGATACATTTTACTGCCTGTCCTGATCTCAAAGCCTCCAAGCCAGTGGTCCTTGAGGCCCTATTCCACCTACTGACAACAACAATGGGGCTCTATTCCACTAATAGACATCAACAAGGAGGCAATATTCCTTCTAGTGACAACAACGATGGGGCATTATTCCTCCTTTACCTAACCAGACACTAGGTAAATATGTTACTACAACTGTTCACCAGCCTTGACCTCACGAAGCTATCAGCGCATCCACTGCGGATGCCTGGTCCGGGGTACAAATCTGTCCAGTTTGTTTTTAAATCTGGACACCAAGAGATCCACATACGGCATCCCCCAGCAGCAGCAAATCCTGAAACACTTCATGTGTAAAAACATTCCCTCAGTCCTGTAGACAAAACAGGAAGTGAGAAAAATCTCTTAAAATGGATGGAAATTCCCTGTTAAACAGCTATCACTGAAAAGAGGGTTCCCATTAGAAGATTCCCCCCCGCCCCCCCCCCTACTCCTGTTCTGTGACAATATTGTGGGTTTTCCCTTACTTTTACTCCCATTGACAAATAATCAGGGGGATTCTCTCTAGAAGGAAACCACAATGCAAGCCTGACAGTGGTTCTAATCCATCATCACTCTATCCAAGAACATAACAAATAGTTTTGCCTTATGTACACTTCCAACACCATTAGAATGAGGTCAAATTCTCCTTGTTACAGTACAGAGATTGCAACCAGAGGATTGGGACTTCTTACAAAACAAAAAGAGGAATTGCTGATATATCAAAGCCAAGAATGTCCATGGGCACACCTGACAATTAAATTACCCAAAAAGGGCAGAGGGTAATCTGATCCATCAGCATCCAACCACAACCAAAATACCATTATTGGGTGGTCTGATCCCTTCAAATCCACTGCATCAATACCTGTTTATACAAGGCCCTATCGATTGTGTGTTCTAAGAGGAGGTGGGTCATACACCCCCCCCCACCCAAAAAAAAATGAATGATAACTGGATTTCTGATTTACAAAACTATTTATATTGACTCATCTATTTGCAAAGACATTTTGAAGTGTATGGATATCAGATATACTTGGATGAAAACAAGCAACATTGAAAGGAATTGACAAATGTCTGCTAATACAGATATACGTGAACCGAGGGGATTTTCCTATACAAATTAAAATGAGTGGTCTGTAATCCTGCATTTGTTGACTGCGCAGTGTTTAAATCCCTGGTATACATGACATATATACCTTACAGGTGATCTCACGAAGTATAGACAGACAACTTTTAACCAAACTATAACAGTTCCATCCTGAAGAAAGAAACTTCCATAAACTTGTCTCAGGCAATAGATACAAATACAAAAGAGATAGATACAAATAAATATAATGCTAACTGACTAAAGAGATTGGCTTTCATAATGCACATACCTTTCTTTAGAAGGGTTGTTTCTCCCGTCTCTATCAACTTCAACAGCATTTCATACTCCATTGGACAGCAATTGTACTTCTTTTGACATTCCAGCATTGCTTCTAAAGCAGGCAAGAGTTCGTTCCTACAAAAACAGGATAAATGAGAGATTTACATAGAACACAACTAACTGGATAGTTTGTCTCATTTGGAGTCAATTTAGCTAATTGAAAGAGGCAACAGGGAAGCCAGAGCCAGCCAACAATTTACATGACAACGCTAAACAAGCATTATCAGTCCTAATATTAGACCTCACATGAGAACCCAAAAGTCCAATAATATTTTATAAACAAATTATATAAATCAAATTAGTGTGCCTACAAATAGTGAACAGTGTCTCATAGTAAATTTTTGTAAACCTCCAGCTGCAGAAGAAAACGCATATCCATAGCAATATAATGAGAAAGAACCCTGTGACCACCCTTCCATAGTGGTCTGCTAAATCAGACCTACTGCGCTGCAATCAGCAGGGGGCACGTTTTGAGGCGCCCTGATCGCATTTTGTACAATTTGCTGATAAACTACATTTAAGACATTACCCAAACCTAATAATGTTAGCACCACTGGTAAGATATTTACTTCTTCCTTCAGTGATCATCTGTAACTGGACAGGAAATATGGTAAACAAGACAGTCAAATTAAAAATCACAGCTCTTTGCATTATATTTAGGAATAAGCCTCCTAACTGGGGCACCCGCAGAGGGCTGGTGTATTGTTTTTTTTTTTTAGCATGTCAAATTTTTATTGAGAATATTCAAAAAATACAACATTACACGACAAGCAGGTCTTGTTATGATACATAGACCATATCTCAGTACGCAGACTGAAATCCAGACATGTCATTTGATTATATCCTTAAACTGCAACTGAATAACTAGAATCTCGCAAAAGGTACACAATCTGCTAGGATATTGCGCATCAATTATGTGTATAACAACTGGTAGCAGACCCTATAGCCATGAGGGTCATTACTGTGGGGAGAAGACCAATTCGATCCCTGAGGGGTATTCGTGGGTGCAACTGGAGGAACACCCGAGGTGGAAAATGGTTGTGCGAACCCCGAATGAGCATAGTTAAGCAAGGGTCAAAGGACATCCAGGGGCCCTAGGGAACCTGTTAGTTTAGCCTCGAGATACCATTTGGACATCTTAAAAATGGACATCAGATCTTGCAGCTGTTGCAATGAAAACTCTGCTGCAACATACGATGTCCAGGTAGCAAAAAACGTTTTAGTACGTTTTTGATAAAATTTTGTATCCAGCTTGTCCAAAAACAACAAGCGATGCAACAGGGGGCGGAATGTACCCATGGAGGGGGGATCAGATGAAATCCAATTACTCAGGATCGCCTTTTTGGCTGTCAGCAGACAGAGATGTTCCCAGCGGGTAGGGCAGGAGGGGTTCCCGTTCGCGGGTAGGGGGGGGGCATATAGTAGGCAAAAGTTCGGAGATAACTGCCTGTTCATATGTGAGTGCACATTCAGTGGGGATGTGGCGGGGACGGAGCTACGGAAAACACCACTAGTCCATCCGGCGCCGGAACCGGAAGTCTTGGTGTATTGTTTTAAGGGACCAAATATATTAGAGCTGTGAATCAACTTCAGCTAAGAGGATTCTGTTTTCAACGACAACTGTTCATGCAGGTACATGTTTGGGAAGCATTTAAAACATTAAGGCTGCGTTCACATGGGACATTCTGGCATTCCTGCTTCAAGACTTTGCAGGTTTGGCAGGAATGCCAGGTTCCCCTGTTCAGATGCGTCCGCTGTACTTATTCAAGAAAATGTCAGGGTGACAGTGGCTGCATCAGTCATGCGGTTTGGGATAGATGATGGTCTCTAGATACATACACTGAGTGGCCAGATTATTATGACCACCTTATCAGTACTTAGTTGGGCCACGAGATGATTCCACGAGATGACTTCGTTGGGCCGCCTCGTGACTCCACGAGATGTTGAAAGGTGATGCGAGGAATCTGACACTGCACGGTTGCCCTTCTGTTGTCTTATTCCAATCTTGCCACTCTCCGTTCTGCCCTAACATTGACTAGTCGCTAACGGCCACAATTCGCACGTTCAGACCCAGATTTTCGGCTGACAGTCCAGTCTTTAAACACTTTAACAACAGCTGCTCTTGAACATTTAATGAATTCTGCTGTTTTGCTGATACTCACTCTATGGCTCCGGGCGCCAACAATCATCCCACGTTCAAAGGCTGTTAAATCGCGACGTTTACCCATATCTTCAGAAAAAAATCACTTCTACTGTCGTGGTAAACAACCTGCTTCCCTATTTATAATTGTCTGGCCCTCTAGCAACTTCAGAGCAAAATTATAGCTAATTGGCCTACAAATGTCAGGTGGTCATATTAATCTGGCCACTCAGTGTACATCCTGCTGCTGTCACCTTGTCACTAACTTCAAATGGGAACAGCGGCCGCATCTGACACCAAGGAATCCTGTTGCAGGAATCCCAGAATGCAGTATGTGTCCCTGTGTGAAGGGGCCTAAAAGCTTGCTGCTGTTTAAAAAAAAATCCTATGAAACACATGCTGAATTTGCCACAAACACATGACACTCCAAAACATTAACTTTCTTCTGCTTTAGCCACTGTTTGGTAGATCATCCTGTATGTTTATGGTTGTTGTCTTACTGCATGACCCAATTTCTCTTGAGCTCCAGTTCACAATTTGATACCCTGACATTTCCCAAAGAAATCGCTGATGCAATTCAAAATTCATAGTTCAAATCAATGACAGCAAGCAATCATTATCCAGAAGCAGCCAACTTTGGCCCAAACCACGATACAGCATCTATCGTGTTTTAAAGATGGAATAAGATTCTTATACTGGAGTACACTGTTTGAGACCATAATTGACCATTTTGACTTGAATTAAAAGTATGGCAAAAAGCAACCATCCACAGAACATTTTTACAATGATCTTCTGATTTATCTACATGGTCTTTAGCAAACTGTAGATGAGCAGCAATGTTTCTTTTTGGGTAGTAGGGGCTTTCACCTCACAACTGTGTTGGCCACACTACCCTGGAGGAGTTCTGTGTTCTCCTCTAATGTTGGACTTAAGGACAGTTACATTCAAAAAAGCAAGAAATGCCTTTAGTTTGTTAGACATTTGCCTGGGATTCTTTGAGATCTTCTGCAGTATTAAATGCAGGAGAATCATACCGCACTCCTTACTGGTATGTCCCTTGCGGTGGGTGCTGTAGTGACTGCGGATGGCGCCACTTCATATTCAAGTAGTAAAGTATATCATCAGCACACCATGGTTAAATCTTCAAGAAGTGATCATTTTCTTGATGCACACACATCTTGTCACATCGCAACTTTTCGGGGCCACTCAGGATCCCTTTGACATGCCTGATGAAGGGACCCTGAGTGGCACCGAAACGTTGCGATGTGACAAGATGTGTGTGCATCAATAAAATTATTACTTTTTGAAGATTTAACCATGGAGTGCTGGTGATATACTTCACTACTTCTTCAGTATTACACACCTTACTATTGGTAATACGAGCCCTGCAGTGATGTAGGGGTAGGAGGATGGAACCAGGGCACGAGGCTGGGTACACAGGTCTCCAGCATTCCCGGAAGTGTAAAATACCAAAGACATTTACAGAGCCTGCAGCATCAGAACAAAAAAAGAAGTACGACCCCCAGAGGAAATGGTGCTTGATTAATATTTTTGTTGCCCGACAGGGCTGCTTTAAAAAGCCTGTACAAGCTGACATAATAAGTGATGTATACCATTTACAAAATTAATAGCCTTTCTACTCTACCTTAAAAAATGTTTGCAAGAAAGGTAAAGAAGATGGAGTCAGAAGGAATGAAAATTGATAAAAGAAAAAAATAAATACCCCAAACATAAGCAACATGATCTAATCAAGCGGAAGAACCTGCTTCCCTATTTATAATTGTCTGGCCCTCTAGCAACTTCAGAGCAAAATTATAGCTAATTGGCCTACAAATGTCAGGTGGTCATATTAATCTGGCCACTCAGTGTACATCCTGCTGCTGTCACCTTGTCACTAACTTCAAATGGGAACAGCGGCCGCATCTGACACCAAGGAATCCTGTTGCAGGAATCCCAGAATGCAGTATGTGTCCCTGTGTGAAGGGGCCTAAAAGCTTGCTGCTGTTTAAAAAAAAATCCTATGAAACACATGCTGAATTTGCCACAAACACATGACACTCCAAAACATTAACTTTCTTCTGCTTTAGCCACTGTTTGGTAGATCATCCTGTATGTTTATGGTTGTTGTCTTACTGCATGACCCAATTTCTCTTGAGCTCCAGTTCACAATTTGATACCCTGACATTTCCCAAAGAAATCGCTGATGCAATTCAAAATTCATAGTTCAAATCAATGACAGCAAGCAATCATTATCCAGAAGCAGCCAACTTTGGCCCAAACCACGATACAGCATCTATCGTGTTTTAAAGATGGAATAAGATTCTTATACTGGAGTACACTGTTTGAGACCATAATTGACCATTTTGACTTGAATTAAAAGTATGGCAAAAAGCAACCATCCACAGAACATTTTTACAATGATCTTCTGATTTATCTACATGGTCTTTAGCAAACTGTAGATGAGCAGCAATGTTTCTTTTTGGGTAGTAGGGGCTTTCACCTCACAACTGTGTTGGCCACACTACCCTGGAGGAGTTCTGTGTTCTCCTCTAATGTTGGACTTAAGGACAGTTACATTCAAAAAAGCAAGAAATGCCTTTAGTTTGTTAGACATTTGCCTGGGATTCTTTGAGATCTTCTGCAGTATTAAATGCAGGAGAATCATACCGCACTCCTTACTGGTATGTCCCTTGCGGTGGGTGCTGTAGTGACTGCGGATGGCGCCACTTCATATTCAAGTAGTAAAGTATATCATCAGCACACCATGGTTAAATCTTCAAGAAGTGATCATTTTCTTGATGCACACACATCTTGTCACATCGCAACTTTTCGGGGCCACTCAGGATCCCTTTGACATGCCTGATGAAGGGACCCTGAGTGGCACCGAAACGTTGCGATGTGACAAGATGTGTGTGCATCAATAAAATTATTACTT